AATGCTGGGTGAGGGAGAACTTATAGGAGATTGAAAAAGGCAGGCAACATTGAACAGCAAAGTCGATAGAAGTCGCTCTATGTCCATATTTAATTATTATAGACAAGATTAATTGAACTTCAAAATATTTGATATTATTTTTCGTCTACTCCCAATTTGTTTAATTATCAAGTTGAACCAAGATTCATTTCAGAAATAGACATGAAATTTTGCATGGAAAAACCAAGTAGTTTTCCATTGGGTCAAATTTTGTTGCAGGTTACAAATTTTTTTTTTCCTCTTCTAACTCTTAACACCCGTGTCTTGACTATTGTCAAGTAAAAACATGTTGGATTGAGTATTTATACTGTAAACATATAAAATATTAGTTCAAGAAAATGTCCTTGGAGTTGACAATTGAAGTCCAGTTAGTTATTTATTTATTTTAAGATTGAAAAATAAAGGTTAATTAAAATATCAAGCCAAAAAGACTTCGCAGTTTCGTCAATTTATTTGAGTGTCATTTGAGATGTTTGATTCTATATGAGATGACTCACATTTAACATTCTTTTGACTATAAACGAAGATCTCAACATATGTCAAGAATAATTTATCTGAATTGGATAATATTTGTAACAATAATGTTAAATGTAAATTCATTTCCTTACATCAACTTTGACATCTCCTTTGTTTTCAAAAAATTGTGGGCGGTGAAACTGTTTTTACTAAACTGTCCAATGGTTTGCTGTCATGTGATACAATGTAAACAATGATGTAAAAAATTATGTACATGTAGTATGATTGTATTTGTAATGTATTAAACTATTTCAATTCCATATATCTTAAAATATGTAAAAGGAAACAAAAAGAACATGGGTAATCAAGCACAAATTGTTCTAAATAAATACAATGTAGTTATTAAAAGTAACTTTATCAATGCAGTATATATATATATATATATATATATATATATTAATTTGAAACTAAAAAATTAAAGAGAGGAGAACTGATTATAACAATGATAAATTACAAATATACCTCGAAGATGTAAAAACAGATATTAAGGGGTTATAATATAAAGTATATCTCTTTGAGCAGATAATTTAGCAAAATATTCGCATAATGATTTGTATTAGAAATATGTTGGTGTCGACTAAGTGGACCCACCCACTTAGGCTTGCCCAATGGGAGACGACGTCTAAAAAAATTATCATGACATGACTGAAAAGATGTTCCTTGATAATGTCACATCGTCCGTTACGACCAATGAAAAGAGAGTAATAATGACCTAAGAAACATGTTATGACCTAAACGTTATGATGACTCGTCATCGCTGAACTCTTTATCCATCAGAAACTCTCTGAATATGGTGATGGGGCACACACTAAGGTCATACACAGCAACTTGACAAAACCAAGGCGACAAGCTCTAGTCTTGTGACCTATATTAGAGGAAAAAGTCTCAATGAAAGAGGTCGGCATAGTCAATATTAAGCAAAATTTATGTAACACTACAATCTTATGTTCACCCTAAATTTTAGCTAGCAATATTGTTATTCTATTAAAAAAATCTTTAAGTTGATCTAAAAACGTCACATTATTTTTTTATCATTAATAGTTTAGCGCTAAAAGGAGACCTATTATGAAGGAGCCCATGTTTCAGTCTCTAAAATACTCAAGTTTCAATTAGTGAAAATTACACAAAATCAGATTTTTAAAGTTTCAATTTTAAATTTCAGATATTAACTTTATCTATACAAAAATCAGATATTAATTCATCTATATCTAAATTATAATTACCAAAACCCTAAAAATCCCAAATCATTTATCACATCTTCATTCTTTCTCTATTCTCTCATTCTCTCTCCTCTTGGTTGTCTCTCTTATCTCTCGTCTTTCTCTTCTTCCCCTCATCTCTCTTTCTTCTTCCCTTCGCAAGGCGTTCGAAGACCTTGCAAGGCCAGTCGACACTGCAGCGATCCGTGCGGTGGCGGCTTCTTTTTTTTGATGAGGTGTGCGGTGGTTGGGGTTGGGTGCGATGGTTGTCGATGTGGAGGGTTTTTTGTTTGGTTGTTAGCGTGGTGGTAAATCTATGGTTCTAATGGTGGTTGGGTGGTGGTGTGGTGGTCGGTGACGGCGGCGGAGATGATGGTAGGGTTGGAGATTGTTTTTGTTGTAGGATAAGGGTGTAAGGGGTCCGATTTTATCGGTTTTTGACAAATTTTCAAACTAAACTATTTAAACTAGTTTAAAAAAAATTCAAACCTAAACCAAACCATTTTGAACGGATTGAAAAAAACTCAAACCTAAACCTAACGGTATGGTCCAATTTTAAACCGCCGATTTCGTCATATATAATTATTTGCCTATCTACTTTTATGTCGTTAATATTTTAATTCATTGGATTCAATATATATTTATATCTTACTAGCAATAAATCTAAAACAATTAAATATATCTACTATAAATTTAAATACCAACTAAATCCAAGTGAAATCATAATAATAGTTTTTTGTTCACCCTTTTCAGGCTAAGACGTTACGATAACGTTATAATACAAGTCTAATAAACTAAATATAAGGCCCAAAACACCTATAAACTAAATATTTATTAGAAAGCATATAGTTCCATAACAAAATTACCGAGATATCAATAAGGCAACACCTTAAATGATAAACTTTATGCCCACTGAATCAAAATCCAAGACTTTAATAGTCTAGCTGAATAGATATCATCCTTATTAATTTAAAACACTTAAAGAAACAGTTTAACAAAATATCTAAGCATACAATAAAACACAACAATTAAATTGATGCAAGTATAGTTGCCACTGGAGTCATAGTTGGTTTTTTTAGTTTATTAAACAACTCATCCACATATCAAATTGCACATGAGCACTTTTTAGCTTCGATTGACATATTTTATCATGCCTAATTCAGTCACAAGAGAAGAGTATGTTCACACAAATAAAATAGAATCATGTACATAGTAGATAAATTATTTCCATTAAAGTAAATAAATTTATTTCACAATCATCCAATAGTTGAGAGAAATGCGAACCCATATAATTTCAGATTTTTTACCTCAATTTGCTAAAAAAAATTATTGATCTGAAACTTTATTCGTAGCAAATATTATCACCAAAGACCCAAGATCTCTTTGTCTCTGATTTGGTTTGGTGTGGTGCTGGTGGCTCAAGGCCGTGTCGAGTGTCGGTTGAAGTTCATCTGAATTTTGAAGAGGAAAATGACTTTTGATATGTTAGGTTAGTCTTGAGATTATTATATATAAATTAGGATTATTGGGTAATAATAATATATATGTAATAGAAAATTAGAAATTGACAAAAATACTCACACAGGACAAAACTATTGAATTTTACATATTTGAATTTTTCAGAATTTTTCATTTTTTCATTTTTTTTATTTTTATATATTTTTCCACCGGTCCGGTTTGGTTTTAAATCACAATTAAAATTTTCAAACCTAAGTCAAACCGTTTTTGACTGGTTTGATTTGGTTCAAAATCATTTCGTTGACGAAGCCATGTGGCACCAAATCGATGATTTCTAAAATGCGGTTTCAGTTCAGTTTTCCGGTTTGACGATTTTCGCTTACAGTCCTATTGGAGGATGGGGGGGGGGGTGTGGTGGCGGAGGTCCTGTCGTTTTGGTGGTCGTGATGGTGTGAGGTGGGGTGCGAGGTGGTGGTGGTGTAGATGTTGAGTGTTGCATGTTGTGGTCGACGGTGGTAGAGTGTAGATGGTGGTGGCATTGACTGTAATGGATTTGAGGAAGTGGTGATCGTGTTGGCAGCGGTGATGTGGGTGGTGTTGGTGAGATTGTGGGGGTGGTGCGAGGTGGTGGTGGCGGCGACGGCGGTGATGGTTTTGTCGTGATGGTGGTGGAATGGCGAGACAATGTGGTGGTATTTTTCTGCGGTGTGTTGATTAGTTTGTGGTGGTTTGTTGCTGTCGGGAGGTGGTGGTGGTGCCGCTGGAGGGAGTGGTGCGGTGGTGGTTACAAATTTTGGTTGTGGTCACAAATTATTTGGTATTTTGTGACCATTAAATTGGTTAATCTGTGATCAATAAATATTACGCGACCAATAAAAAAGATAAATTGTGACCAAGAAATAATGTGTGACCTAAAATTTTTTTAACTTGTGATCGATAATTTAACAATTTATGACCGTCTATTAAGTTGTGATTTATAATAATTGTGATTTGTAATCGATAAATAAATTGTGACGTATAAATTTTTTATTTGTGATCGATGAACAAATTGTAACCTATTAATTTTTTGAATTGTGACCGTAAAATAATTTGTAACATGTAAAATTTTTGTTTGTGATTGAAATATAATATGTGATTAATTAAATTGAAAAATTTGTGACTGATGAATAAATTTTTGATTTGTGATCGATAAATAAATTGTGATCTATAATTTTTTTGAATCGTGGCCGTAAAATAATTTGTGACATATAAAAATTGTGATTTGTGAACAATTACATAGAATTTGTGACCAAATTATATGGAATTGTGATCTTAATATATTTAATTAAATAATTTATAAATAAAATTTTAAAAAATTTGAGATTTAAAATTTTAAACTTAATTTTTTAAATTTGAAATAGGTGAAACTTAAATTCTTAGTTATGAAATCTTCTCTTGCAATTGTCCCTCATGGAATCTTTCAAGAGACCAAAAGGCCAAAAAGAAAAAAGGACAAAAAAAGGAAAGGAAAAAATGAAAGAGTTAGACTCTAGTTAGGCCTAGGTTTAGCCCAGTTCGGTTCCGAGTCCAAATTCCCTGTCTAATCCGTAACCAATCTCATTTGTCAACTGCTGTATTTGTACCCGTCTTTTCAAACGGGCCGGGCTTATTTTAATACATATTATTCATAGCAGGGAAAGGATATTGAGATCTCTATTCATATGTACGTATACATTTGTACGTATATATTTGTTGCACTGAATAATTAACGAGTGCGTGTCTGTCAGTAGCAGCAGTAGTGAGACAAAAATGGAAGTGAAGGTGAAAATGATGATGAGAGGGTGGTTCGCCATGGTTTTGCTCCTAGTATGCACCGTAATTTCGGTGAGATCGGATGCATCCAATCATAAATACAAAGTCGGAGATTCTGTGCCGCTTTACGCTAATAAGGTCGGACCTTTTCACAATCCTAGGTGAGCATTTTTGTGCCTCGATGACCTATTATTTTCATGCATTAAAAGATTTACTGTGTATATTTGTGTTTTGCATTGTGGAATGTAGTTGAGAATTGAGTCGTTTTTGCAATCAATTGGATTTTTTTTTTTGTTTTACTGAGAAACTTGGTTATAATTGAGATCACACTGGGCTAATTCGCTTTTCAAAAATCAGAGGGCAAAGGATGATGGTGTATTATGGGAATTTCATAACAATCGAGATCAATAGAGGACAAAAGAAGATACCATTTCACTGGAATTTCACAAGAATTGAGATAATACTGAGCTAAATCACATTTTGTAAATTAGAGGGTAAAAGGAAGATTAGGTTTTTTCAAACTGGATATTGTTCAAGTGAATAAAAATTCACGAATCATGAAGAGTTTCTAACTTGGGTTAATCCATTTGTACATAATGGATTACCCCATCTCACATGATGTGCGGGATCCGCGTGTATTTAAAAATTCCCCCATCCCCATTATGAGTAGTAGGTAAAAGATTCTATAAAAAAATTCGGTGCACGTAGCATGATCTTTCTAACTTTGAGGGTCGAATGGTAAAGGAAAATTCTGGCTATTGCGATTGGCTTAAGAAAATAAAACAGTTGCCATCAATTGTTGGGAAATGGTTGATTGTATTCGTGTACGGACCATGTGAACTGCACTTTCTGGTGAAGGCAAACTCATTGTCTATGACAGAGTATGTAAAATTTAAAGATCCTAAATTCTGTCTCTTAGATGCATGAAATACAAAATGTGGAGTTAATTGGAATAGAATATGAATTGCCGGGGAGCAAAGGAGAAAGGGACATTGGGTTGTGTTGATTTCTGATAATAATTGAATTGTAGTTGATTACTGCTTGTAAATTATTTGGTGAGCCTCAATGCTACTCTTTAGGGTGGCCAGAATTAGGTGCACAGTACATTTACGTATCATCTGAGGCTAGTTAATGAGCAGATTGAAGTAATCAATTTTTTTTTCTTTTTAATTATGAAATTGAATGATATTAAAAGGTGAATAACTATGTTCAATCACTCAACTTCTTCCTTTGACTGACCACCACTACTTAAAAATTGTTGGTGAATGCCAATGACCCCTTAAACTTTGAAGTTGATCATGTTTTTGATTTTTATTTTGCTTTTCAACTATCCATTGATTGATAAGGCAATTTGTATCAGTATAAAGCTTAAATATTTAATTCCTGATAATTTTTGTACAAAAAATAAAAAGTATATTTCATTTGAAAAATATGTGGGATTCATAATACACACATGGGTATGATCATGAATTGGCACACGTTAGCTGTATATATGCTGAAATCGAACATATCAATGTGCTATTGTCGTGTGTTGGAATTATGATTTAATTCTGATTTTGAAGCTAGGAATGAAGAATGGTAAAAATTTCAAGAATATTGATTTTATTTGATAGTTTTGTTCATAAGAATTATCTGAGTCCTAGTATGTGGAAAAAATTGTTAATCAAATACATGATTCCAAGTAAAATTCCTCAAGAACCAAAATTTAGCTTCAAACAAGAAGCAATTTTTTTTATTATATGTGAACAAATTTATGTTAATGATGTTGATATTGAAGTTTGCGAAGTACATCTGCTCATTATATTTGACTGGGATGTCTTGTAAACTCTGTATGCACGTTATGACCGAATATGACTTTCTCCAATACCAATGTAGACCTTAAAATCATGAGATTTGAAGAACATACAATCATTACATCGGGCTAAACTGAAAACTTTCAGTATTCCAAGATTCTTTTATTTTGAATCCCTGTGCTCTTTGGGATAGAAAATGAGATCGATTAGGTATAATATGTAAACACCAGCATGTATCACGCGAGCAGGAAATATATGTATTACAATGAACTAATGCCAAACTATTTATTTTTTATTTTTTATTTTTTTGGGCAGTGAAACGTATCGCTACTTTGATCTTCCTTTCTGTTCCCCAGGTTTGAATCTTGCCATATTGTTTATTTATTTCACAAAGATATCTCATGTTCTTGTTATAATGGGATGTCTCTGGCAGCTCATATGAAAGAGAAGAAAGAAGCTCTTGGGGAAGTGTTGAATGGGGATCGGCTTGTTAGTGCCCCGTATAAACTTGACTTTTTGCAAGATAAAGACTCTGAAATTGTTTGCAAGAAGACGTTATCCAAGAAAGAAGTTGCGCAATTCCGAAAAGCTGTCATGAAAGACTATTATTTCCAAATGTATTATGATGATTTGCCCTTCTGGGGTTTCTTAGGGAAAGTTGAGAAGGAAGGAAAATCTGATCCCAACGAGTGCAAATATTATCTATTTAAACATCTCCATTTTGAGATCCTTTACAATAAGGACCGTGTGATTGAGATTAATGCGCGAACTGACCCCAATGCCCGTGTAGACCTCACTGAGGATAAGGAAGTTGATGTGGAAATCATGTACTCTGTGAAATGGAAGGAAACAAATACACCTTTCGAGAAGAGGATGGAGAAGTATTCACAGTCTTCTTCACTACCGCATCACTTGGAAATCCATTGGTTCTCAATAATCAACTCCTGTGTGACAGTTCTCCTCTTAACTGGCTTCCTGGCCACTATTCTTATGCGAGTCCTTAAGAATGACTTTGTCAAGTGAGCACATTCTTATTTATCTTTAACTCGATTCTGATTATAATTCTTTTCCCTTGTCAACATTGATTACTTAATTCTATACGTGAAAAGGTATGCTCATGATGAGGAGACAACCGATGATCAAGAAGAAACTGGTTGGAAATATATTCATGGTGATGTGTTCAGGTACCCGAAGTATAAATCTTTGTTTGCTGCATCCGTTGGTTCTGGTACCCAGTTGTTTACCCTGTAAGTACATCTTTAATCTGCTTTTTTTTTGCAGAAGATCACTTATCACTTACTATTGGAATATCTACTAATTTCTACCTTTTTTTTTTCTCAGCATGGTATTTATTTTTATCCTTGCACTGGTTGGTGTATTTTATCCATACAACAGAGGAGCTCTATTCACTGCACTTGTTGTCATTTACGCACTTACATCTGGAATTGCTGGCTATACTGCAGCTGCTTTCTATTGCCAACTAGAAGGAACAAACTGGGTATGTTTTACTTCTAGCACATTCTTTACTTCTAATAATTGACGAAATGCAATATCCAAGTTTCACGGTATATCTCGGTTCCGCCGTCCTCCATCCCAACACCAAGAAAAGGTAAATGTGACATTACCTCTGTTGTCTTGACAGAAAAAAGAAGGTTCTAGGTAGCTACCTTGTATGGTACTTGATAAATGGGATTCATGTTTGCGAAAAATGACTCCCTTCTATTTCTAATATTTAGAATGGATTAAATCAATGAATTAGAATGAATCAACTGCGAAATAGTGGACTGAAGATGAAAAGGTTGGATTGTATTGTCAATCAATGCAACTTACCTAGTTGGACTTATTCAAGTACATCTACTGATAGAAAGTCTTTCCATGGAACAAGTGGTGACATTTCTACCATGGACATTTGTTAGTCAAATTATAAAGTTTTCCTCTTTTCAAATACTTTGTTTTATTTAATTGGGTAGTTCTTTTTGTTTGCCATCAAAATATAGAGGAGCTTATTTGACAAAATGGATATGAATTTAATAAAAAATGCATTACAGCTGATTTTACATCAATTAGTGTACAGAAGCTTCTGAACTGGCCATGAAAGCTTACTTTTAATAAGCTTCGGATATCATTGTGTAGCCTCTAAACACAACCTAGTCAAAATAAAGTGCATGAAAATAGATAATTACTATTATTTACAAGCAAAGGCCCCTAAATGCACTAAATATACAAAATATACAGCAAGCCCATGATATTAATACATAAAATGGAGGAAAATCTGTCATTTTTTTAAATTTATCATAGTCAAAGTAGGTTAGAGTTGCCTTGGTGGTGAGTCCAGTATTTAGCGGGTATCTACCATCGGCACAAATCACGTTTCGGGTCCACTAGAGTGATTCGGGATGGGTCGTGTCGATTGGTATAAAACTCAAAGATTTTTTAAAGAAGAAACTTTTATTTTAATGGTTATTACTTTTATTTTTTCTTGGTAAATGTTGCTTAAACGTTTTTTTTCCTGGGAAAATATGAATGAATTGCAAACTGAAGGTTACCTCGATTGATATTGGTAAAGTAAAATTATTTCTGATTAGGCACTCCCTTTCTCATTCCACAGGTTCGGAATTTATTGTTGACTGGAAGTCTATTTTGTGGGCCGCTATTTCTTACATTCTGCTTCCTTAATACTGTTGCCATTGCTTACAGTGCCACTGCAGCACTGCCGTTCGGAACAATTGTAGTCATCTTTCTTATTTGGGCACTCGTAACATCACCTTTGCTAGTCTTGGGCGGGATAGCAGGAAAGAATAGCAAGGCCGAGTTTCAAGCACCATGTCGCACCACAAAATATCCTAGAGAGATCCCACAGTTGCCTTGGTACCGTGGAACTCTACCTCAGATGGCAATGGCTGGATTCTTGCCTTTCAGTGCCATTTATATTGAACTTTACTACATATTTGCCAGTGTGTGGGGCCACAGGATCTATACTATCTACAGCATCTTATTTGTTGTTTTCATCATCCTCTTGATTGTTACTGCCTTTATTACTGTTGCTTTGACGTACTTCCAGCTTGCTGCTGAAGACCATGAATGGTGGTGGAGGTATGACACAATGTTCTCTGATTTTGGTTATTCCTAAAGGATGAGTTTTATGCTAGCATTAATTACCTTTGTAATGTGATTGGTAATTTGGAAAGAATTAGAGTTCTGAACATATGAGATTATTGTGGTCCCTTTTTCAAGAACAAAGTAATCAATCATTTGATTTTGTCTTTGACTTTATTTACTGCATAGCTGGTAAAGAAAGTTTATACACGTACATTGAGGGAACTTGAATGGCTCTCTATAGGGTTATCATTTAGTTTAAATATTTAATTCTGATTTGTTGCGTAATAGGCGCTAGGTAAAACTGAACTATTGTGTCAACAGAAATTTTCATGTAGATTAGGCAAGAGTCTAGGTGTATATAAGTAAGCTACATGTTTTATGAAAGCAATGCATGTAAGATCTCGAGTTCATCCCTGCATCCCTCAAAAGATGCTAAAGAAGGGAAAGATTCTCTTGGTGCTTTCTATAATATGAATGATGAAAGAAGACCTGAATTTGGGTGACCTAATGGTTTGTTTGAGTACTGGAAATTAGTTTACAGGGATAAATTGGGAGGGCAATTTTGGGAGAAAATCATTGACTTTGGCTTAAGCATCGGGCCAATATTCTACTTACACGAGCGACAATCTCTTCGGGTGAAAACTGAAATTTCACTTTTATATACCGATTTTTTTGTAGTTAATGACAACACAATTTTCTTTCTTTTATTTTCTCAATCTTTTTCTCTTCACATTCTTCATACGTAATTGTCAAGTATTTTGTGCTGTATTTGCTAATGTTATCATGATTGACTTTATCTGATTCCTATGACTTACATAGGAAATATGCTAGACCTACATGTAGTGCGTGCCTTGCAAAATTAGTCATAGCAATCATCAAATGGAAAGAAAATCTGAGTGTAATGTGTTTTGGTTCAGATCATATGTTCGTGGTCGTGTTTTACTTTGTGTACGTGAATTTTTTAGATAAAGTTTCACATTTCCTTTAACGAGGGACTTTTAGTATATCTTGAATCTTTTGATATATACTCTCTAAACTTGTTGATCCATTGACATCAGAATGTTTGTTGTTTGTACAGGTCCTTCCTTTGTGGTGGATCTACGGGGCTGTTCATCTATAGCTACTGCTTGTATTTTTACTATGCACGGTCAGATATGTCTGGCTTCATGCAAACATCATTCTTCTTTGGATACATGGCGTGCATTTGCTATGGTTTCTTCCTCATGCTGGGGACTGTTGGTTTCCGTGCAGCACTCTTTTTTGTTCGTCATATATACCACTCAATTAAGTGCGAGTAGTAAGGAAATCGGATAGTCTTGTGTGTTCTACATTGGCGATAAAAAAGGATGATCGCGTAGGGCCATAGATTGTGCTATTGGCACTGTTTAATTTAACTTTTTTTCTTTTTACAATTTTGTCTTTAAAACTTGAGGATTTTACAATTTTAACTTTGTTTTATAGTTTTCTAAACTCCACCTTCCTTGATTCTATAACGAACTGTTGAGATTTTGCATCACCCCAGTAACATGACAATCATGCAGTACCCCCTAGAAAACAAAGTGTTCTTGTGGAAGATCCAACGGCAACTGCAAGTGTTCATTCAACTTGTGTAGTTTCTTCTTATACTCCTCCGCATTATCCAATGAATTTACTTTCAAATTTATGATGCATGATTATCATTAGGGATCCACGTTCCCTAATGATCCTGATGAAGGTGACCTAAAACTGACCTCGATTTCTGAATTATTCAAAAGCTCACAATCTTGAAATGATTTTGAATCATGTAAATCAATCCCATTTGCACGGATAACCAATCTTGTAACTGGGTTGTGGAAATTCTCCTTCAACCTTCGGATTGTTTCCTTAACGTCCATTTGATGACAAGATAACAGCAAATTAGTTAAAGAAAGGAACAATCTCCTGACCAGCTGCACGTTGGCAACCAAGAGGAAAATTTCACAGAATTTCTCTGTTAAATGGACTCTCTACAAATGAGGAATATTTCAAGTAATGCAACTTGTATTTTTATTCATCACAACATGGCTATATATATAGCCATACAAGCATTCAGCATTTGTTAAATTCAAAGCTAAAGACTACAATAAAATAACGAAAACTCAAAGTAATGCCCGTAGGACTTGGTCTCTCCTTTAATTCACATCACCGTTTCTAGCGCGACGCGGATATTTGATGCCGGCATTTTGACAAGGAGCTGGATCTTTGTAGGGAAGAGTTCTAACAGTTGAATGTGGACAATTTTGATCACTGAGAAATGATATTTCTAATTCTGAAAACATTGTCCATGCACGTGTTCATGTGATTCTTGATCTTCGATTACCAATTAAGTTTATAAGCATAATTTTTCAGGTCTTTTAAATTTTTTTCATTCATTACAACTCATGTTCGCCTTGAATTCAAAGTTATTATTCTAATTTCTAAACCTACTTTCGATCCATCCAAGTTTAAATTTAGAAATCATTAAATTTCTCTCTAATGGAATTGGTCCCTTTTCTATTTGGTTTTCCTGTTTCTCTTCTGGAATTCCAAAAAGAAAAGAGAGAAAAATGTCCATTGGGAAATTTGTGTAGAAAAATAAAGAGACAAGAATCATTGTGTATTACCTTTTTCAAGAAGGGTGTAATCATGGTGTAGCTAGAATCATTGTCAATTATCTTTTTCAAAATTAGTTGTAGAAAAAGATGGAATCTTGACATGAAGCGCTATTGACGCCGAGCAGAATAGTGATTATTGTGCAGTCTGGAACCAATAGACAATAACATAGAAGAATGCAAGAAAATAACACTAAGAAAAAAGAGAAAATCTTTATTATTCAACAACTAAACGAAAATAACCCACAAGCCGGGTTAAATAATTAGAAAATAATAATTTTCGAAATTTTATCCAAAATAGCAAAATCCTATTATTCGTATCAAAAGGAAATACTTAATGACGGAAATAAGATCCCAAAAATCTGGCTTAATTTGAGATCGTAATTTATGTCAAAAAGGAAATTGAAATATTACTGAAAATGGCAAAAAATAACTTAAATTGATGATTCGAAAGGGAAAATAGCTGAATTTGACCTCGAAACCGATGCATAGCTCGGTGACCACCACGTGCGCGCAGAAAAGAGCTTTTCGAATTGGGGTCATGGGCGTGATTCTGACAACCGTAGGCAAAGTTATGGTCAAAATACTGAAACGTGTCCAAAAAGGCTTCAATTAGGAAAGATCGATAATTATTTGCCAATTTTGCGCTGATCCGTCAACTCATGGTATCTCAGCGCCATTAACGTACTATCAGACAGCTCGACCTCGTCTGACTCGAATATTCCTGCATCAGCTATGGATCCGAATCGGCTCACAACTAATATCACTGATTTTGAAGAAAAGATACTGCGCTTGATTCTCTCACTAGTAGAAGCAAATTAGGAACTGGTCTTACATATTGGAGGAAGGAAAAATTAACTTAATCATTGGAGCCAAAAAAAACGACCGTAGAAAAGGATACCAAACAATAGTAGCACTACTCTTCGAAGTAAGCCTCCAAAATAAAGGTGCTACACTAATTATAATAACCAGAACACGGCCTTGGCACAGATGAACTCTTCTTTAACCCACCCTCTCGAGCCACATTTTTAGAGATCCTAGCACATATAAAACGAAGTCAAACGAACACTAAACTTTGATGAAAAAATAGTTTTCGAGCATTTTNCCAAACGAACACTAAATTTTGATGAAAAAATAGTTTTCGAGCAAAAAAAATTTTTTTTTTACTTTTTGGCAATGTTAACAAATTTCATAACCAATTGTAAAAAAAAAAATTCATTTTAATGGATAATTTTCATGTAAAATAAAGCCAAACGTGAACAAAAAAAAATCCAAAATTTCAAAATTTTTCCAAGTGGAAAATTATATCAATTAAACATACTTAATTAACAATTCCCTGCAAAACAATTTATAGGCAATTACTTTCCTTGAAAATTATTTTCTTTCCACTCATTTTCCACCATTGCAATCAAACGCACCCTTAGGGTGTTTTTAAAAGTATGAAACTTGTATGAAAAGAAAATAAGTCCTAAAATGTTGAATTTCCTATAAATTATTTGCATAGAAATTATTAATTAAATGTATTTGAATGGTTTAATTTTCCTATAAAATATTATAGTTATCTATATTTTATTGTTGGGTAGGTCATATGAGAGAGAGAGAGAGAGAGTTGCCCGTAAAATAAAAATCTACTCATTCCTAAAGAGAATGTTTTCCTTGTTTTTGAAAAAATATGATCACGTGACCAACTTTTGAAAAATACTTTCCATAAAAAAATGTTAATTAAACATCCTAAAAGTATGAACTTGTGTAGAAAAAAGATATTTTTCATGAAAATTAAAGCCAATCAAATACACCCTATATAGTATTCCTTAGTAGTTCTAAATTGAATATTCTCTAAAACGAATTTAAAAAGTTGTACATTTTCCCCCCTTTTTGTCAATAAAAACTCCTTAACTTTAATCAAACATTTCTAATTTTAATGACTTATTATTATTATTTATTTTAAATTTTACCTCGGAACATTTTATAGCTTCTATAAACGTAGGTAACTTTTCTTAATTCTTACTGTCATCTCATTTATTACTTCTATCATATAGATTAGAATCAATTTTTTCACCGGCCAATCATAAAATGTCACTTAAACATTATGTACATCAGTGTTAACTCTGATGTACATGTAGCAAAGCCCAACGATGAATAATTTATGTTGTTTATATCACATTTGGTACACGCCTATAGATGGCTAGAGACGTAATTGGGTTATAAATTAGCATATTCTATAAATTGGTGAGTTTCGAAGGATAGATATTTCTTTGCAATGTTGAATTTAGGGCATGTTTGAGCCCCATTTTTTGTATAAAATGTATTTTAGAATAGTAGATTGATGGAAAATGTGTGGTTAAAAATGAAAGAAGAGTTTTTGGATTGCGTATAATATTATTTTATTGAAACATGCGTGGTTGAAAAGAAGAGAAAAAAAATGTATTTTTTTTTTTAAAAAAAAGGGGATCAAACAATGGCTTAAGAAAGGAGAGTTATATTTATTAGTATAATTTATTTGTCGGTTATTTATTGGGAAAACAATTACGGACTCAAAATTATTTTGGCAAAAATGAACTGAGCCAACACTAAATGAGCAATATATAGAAATGAGATTCAATATTACAAGAGCTAGAAGAGAAAGTCGAAATATAAAATATTCTTTATTTTAAAGAGTTAATATTTAAAAGTAAGTTATAAGAGGTTCTTTAATTTTTTAAAATAGAGAGTGAGTTTGATTCTTCAAATTTAAAGAGTCAAACTCATTCTCTCTTTGTAACGTACAATGATTGAATTTAATACGTCACAACTTTCAATACTCTATTTTTTAAATTATTCAAAATACATTAAATTATTTGATCATTAACATATAAAAAGTATTTTAAATAAAATATGAGAAAAATCAACAAATATCTTTTAAGAAAAACAAAATGAAGAGCCAAAATAGATAGCACTGTTGAGTGCATAAAATTTTCCTCTCTAAATTTATAGATACTTCCTATAATGCATAATATGATTTTTATAAATAAAGAGTCTGGAAGATACTCTAAGCCCCTGTTTGGCGCCCATTCTGTTTCTCATTCTCATTCTCTTTTTTTATTTCAACCATACAATCTCCAAATAAAATAATATTACACACAAATCTAAAATTTTTCATCACTTTTCCACCACACATTCTCCCATCAATCACTATTCCAAAAATTTTCAACCCATTAAAATGGGTGTCAAACACTCTCTCTTAAACTCAGATGTTATCCAATGATCGAGTATTGAGGAATAAGTAGCTAAACATTAAGCCCCTGTTTGGCGCCCATTCTGTTTCTCATTCTCATTCTCTTTTTTTATTTCAACCATACAATCTCCAAATAAAATAATATTACACACAAATCTAAAATTTTTCATCACTTTTTCACCACACATTCTCCCATCAATCACTATTCCAAAAATTTTCAACCCATTAAAATGGGTGTCAAACCCTTTTTATAAATATACGTTGATTCCAAAAATGCTTATGGATTTAATAAACCAAGACTTGTTGATTAACAAAAAAAAATATAGAACCACTCTAATTTAATTTACAAGCCATGTTGAATGGGTCAATTTGGGTATTCCAATACTTAGAACCACCTAGCTATTACACTTTGGATGTTTCGTAATTAATGGAATCATTTTGATCCTCGTAATTATAGAATTGAATTCGAACCTCAACCGTCGATTTCGGTTCGATTTTACCAATAGTATTTTTAAAAATCATGAACTAACAATACAAATTATCATTTCAATATCTAACAGAAATAGAAGAAATAAAATGTGTCAACCAATAAATATCCATTGTAAAATATGCCACCAAATGACATTCAATATTGAGCATGATAACAACAAATTTTGACGATCGCTTTGCAGACGACTTCTCAAGAAGTATTTGTGCGGCAAGCATCACGAAAAGTGTGGTTAGAAGTGACTACTAATGAGGGTGATATGATTTAATTGTTCAAATGAATGAATCTGATTAATTATGATATTTAGACCTTCCAAAATTTGCTACTTGTTGATCTGGATCATTGGATCTCGTAAATAGATTATAAAAGGAAAAAAATAAAAACTTATGAAAAAAAGAAGAAAACCGACTCCAAAGTTGGGTTGCCAAGAATCAAGAACCGTCCAACACCAGCTCGATTTTAGTTTCTCATTTTCTTCTTTTGAAACTTCAATTCTGATTAAAATGTCCACCACTAACTATAAATACCAATTTGAATCAATAATTGGAGTAAACTCACAATTCATCATTTCTTAAACAAATTGAAAAACCAAATCAACATGTTGCTCTCTAGTCCCTAAACTTCTAACAAAAATATAAATTAAACCATAACTAATACATAACGCAATAAAATAAAAATACTAAAAATCGAATCAAGCATTGAGAGGAGAAAATTTTGCAGTTTGTGATTCAATCATATCAAAGTTGTGCTTAAAATGAAATATCTTAGTCCCTTTCTATATAAAGCAGTCTTCATATATAAGGCAACTTCAATAAATCAAACTACTTCGTCTATTGTTTGCTTGACATCCAATCCTTTAATAAAAGTACTGAAATCGAAAATAATAGTTTACGGTCAGCCAGAAAGACTCCCATTGAAGATCTCAATGGTATCACCTTGGCCAACATGGTGCCACCTAAAAGAACGATCATCATCCATCACATTTTGTTTGTAAATGAAAAAATAGCCTTCTTGTGGAAGATCCAACTGCAACTTTTCATTCAATTTGTGTAGCTTCTTCTTCACATCCCCAACAATATCCCAAGCATTTACATGAATTGGAATCCTTTTAGTCCCACATTTTGTCACAACAATAATCCTCAGTTTTCTTGATCCACTGCCCATATTCCCTGATGATCCAGATAAAGCTGTTGTTGTCGAAGATGATCGAAAACTCACATCGATTTCTGAATTATCCGAAAGCTCACAATCTTGTAACGATTTTGAATCATGTAACTCGATCCCATTTGCATGGATAACCAATTTTTTTAACGGGGATCCCTTCTATATCTTGGATTTTCTCCTTTAGTGTTCGGATTGTTTCTTTAACGTCCATTTCGAGCGCCACTCCGAGTTTTGATGCCTGCATTTTGACGAGGAGTTGGATCTTTGTTCCGGAAAGTTCTCCAGCAACGAGCAGCTGAATGTAGGACTGGTCGAGGATATCTGAGTAGTGGATGTTGAGTTCGTTCTTCAAAACATTTCCATTGAAAACTAGGGTTTGTTTGGCTATAGGGATTCCCTTCACCTTTTGGATTTTTTCTTTCATCTCTAACACTGTTTCAAAGTAGCCAATTTCAATTTGGAATGCATTGCCATGGCTTGGTTGAATGTTGATGTCCATCACTCAATTTTGTGTGTGTGTGTGTGAGAGAGAGATGGAGAGAGAGAGGGTGGGTGGGGGGGTGGGGTTGCAAGAGAGTTTGAAGAGGTATATAAATAGTTGTAACAGTACCCAATTTTCTCTCAGTTTCAGCTGATGAGGATAATCCTTTATTGAACCTCGATATGCTTGCTTTTATCGTGACTTCATTATACAATTTTGACCACGAAAAATGATGTTTCTGATTTCTTATAACGTTATTGTCGCTTGTGTCGATCATGTGTTTCTTTATGTTGGATTGCTAGGTAAGCTTATCAAGATACTTTACTTGTTTTAAGGGTTTGTTCATCTTGGATTGCCACGTAAGTTTATGAAAATACTTTTCTCGTTCTGAATTCGAAAACTTTATCCATGCTTGTGTCGACGGTTTTTCATATTGAATTGCCAGCTAAATTTATGAAAACACTTTTCTCGTTCTGAATTTTGGAAACATTATTGACGTTTGTGTTGACCAGGTGTTTCTTTATCTTGGATTGCCTGATAAGTTTACGAAAATGCTTTTCTCATCCTGATTTCGGAAACGTTATTCATGCTTGTATCGAACACATGGTTCTTCATCTTGGATTGCTAGCTAAGTTTATGAAAATACTTTTTTCGTTCTCATTTAGGAAACATTATTAACGCTTGTGTCAACCATTTGTTTCTTCATTTTGATTTGCCAACTAAATTTATAAAAATACTTTTCTTGTTTTAATAATGATTTGATTTCTTGATTCAATTTTGAGAAAATGCTTTCTTGTTTTAAGGTTTGATTTATCGACACTATTTTCATTACGAGAAATCATATTACTATTTGAAATTATTTTTCAAGCATGTGTTGCGTGATTCTTTATCTTGATTTGCCGACTAAGTTTATAAAAAATATTTTTCTCGTATAAAATTAAAGTTTCAAAACCGGCCTCGACTGACCAGACCATTGTGATTTATGTAATTTTGCCACATTAATGTCAATTGCAACAAATTTATCAAATCAGTAAATCTCAGTGTAATTATGGTAGGAAAATAGAATTATCAAAAATGAAAAAGTGATAAACTTCCATCCTAATTAGTTGGGACAGAATATACACTGCAAGTTCGTATCGGTTTTGTCTGTGCAACGAATATCAAATTATAAAAAGCACAAATATCTATCAAAGAAATAAAAGGAAGGGAAAATTGCAGCAACGGTCCCTAACTTTTTTATTTTTTGCAGACTTTACCATGACCTTTGTTTTGTACCACTAGAGGTCCCTAACCTTTGAAAAATATTCACAGGATGTCTAACTGGACAGAAACCATCCAAATCACCGTTAGTCAACCTGGAATATTAAAAAATAAGATATTTTGACCATTTTAAGAGGGGCTATTTCCGTCCATATACTAATTTTCCTTTAAAAACAATAAATAAAAGAAAACAAATCAACATCTTCTTCAAACACCCGACCCACCCCACCCCACTCCACTCCACTCCCACCCTTCATCAACACCAAAATCCTACCGCCCACTGCAACTGTGGTTGTCACAAGCGTCACCACCATGGCCACCAAATATGTCTTCCTCTGCCCTCGCTCTACCTTCATTTCTCGCTGCGGCCTCTTCCCCAAATCAACAATGAATAATGACACCAGAGAAGTGTTTGGAGATGTAAACTTTGGCAGCTTTGAGACCGTAGCGCAGAACTATTTGATCTTTGCTTTCAGGATCTCAAACTTCGATAACAAAAATGAAATCCCCATATCCACTCAATAATTGGTGAAAATGAATGAGTACAAAAGAAATCCTACTTTGTTAGCTATATTTTCAATTTCTGTCAATATATTATTATTTTCTTCTAGCTCAGTGCACTGCAATGGCGTATCCCCCAGAAAGATGAGAAGAAATTTTAGCTCTGGCAAAAGAAACTTGAGTTGACCTGGAATTGTTAAGAAATATATGATTAGTTTGTTTTTATTATTTATTAAGGGTAGAATAGTCTTTTAAGTTTTCTTTATTTTAGACTATATATAGTCTCTTTGTATCTAGGTTTTATTCATTCAATTACATTATGCAGAATCAATAAAACCCTAGCCTCTTTTTCTTTTTTTTTATTCATTCAATTACATTATGCAGAATCAATAAAACCCTAGCCTCTTTTTCTGTTTCTCTTTGGATTGTTTAACAGGAATCAGTTTTAGAATCCAGTAAATCTTCTAAAGTTCCAACCAGAAAGTCGACAAAGCTTGCTACAATTTCCTTTTTCTTGAGAGTAGTGTCAACCAAATGCTGTAGCTTTAGAAGTGTGAAGACCCCTAGAAGCAGTGGTTTGCAAGAGAAAAGGAGTTGTACAAATTCTCGACAATATTCTCCCCATATGTTAGTTCTGATCCGGTAATTGAAAACTGAATTTTCAAGACGGACTAATAGATCTCTAAGACTGCCATGCTCTAAGTTAACATGTAGCTGCATTGCATAGTGAAGGAGAACCTCTAAAAATTGTGGTATGTTCCATCGAAACCTTAGAATTCTTCCACTGCATTGAAGAATCAAAACTTGCAGATCCCAAATGGCACTTCCCTTTTCCACTAGATATCGCAGATTAGTGAGCGGAAAAGACATTTCTATCACTTTTTTTGGAATTTATTAAGGGAGAAAACCAATTTACTGTGAGAAATGAAGGGAGAGCGAGGGCGGAGGACGACATATTTGGTTGCCATGGTAGTGGAGTTTGTGGCGGCCACAATGGCGGTGGGCGGTAGGATTTTGGAGTTGGGGAAGGGCGGGTGGGTGGGGGTCGGGTGTTTGAAGAAGATTGCAATTTTTTTCTTTTATTTATTGTTTTTAAAGGAAAATTACTGTATGGACGGAAATGTCCCTCCTGAAAATGGTCAAAATATCTCTTTTTTTTTAATTTTTCAGGTTGACTAACGGTGATTTGGACGGTTTCTGTCCAGATGGACTTTCTGTGGCACAAAATGAAGGTTAAGGTAAAGTAAAGTCTCAAAAAAATGAAAAGGTAAGGGATCGCTGCTGCAATTTTCCCTAAAAGGAACGATTACTTAACTTTGACAGCCTTATATTTTTCGGTAATCTCATTTATTTTCCAACAAAATTGTTTACGAGAAAATATAAACTTTCCACTTATGATTGTCACAAATTGAATTATAATTATGTCTATTTATCCACCCTTCATCACTAGCATGAATAACAGTTGACTATCCATCATGATATCTTAATTTGTGAAGTACCAAGAAATTTGTTGATGACTAGAGTATGGTAACTCTCCAACAGAAATAGAATTATGTTATTTTTACATTTCTTGATGACATTTTTGTTGACATTGTGTGTTGTCAAAATCTATACCATTGATTATTAGCAAAATCGTTAGAAATATGATAGTCAATTTTATTAAGAGTTAGGTTTATATTAAAAGGTGAACTCTCGTTTGGTTTGACATTTTCTTTTACTTTTGTTTCTTGGAACTTTGTACGAAAATATTTTTAGAAGAAGTCACATTAGATCAGCTCTTCTAAAAGCTTTTCTAATTAGAAGAAACAATTTAATAAAATTAGTCAAACGAGTCTAAAGATAGATTTTTAGTTTCAAAGAACTCATTTTAATTTTCAAAAGATATGCCAAACGGGACTTAAGAAAAGTAGTTCAAACCCTTATATATTAGTCTATAATTTCATTTTTATTCGACGTGCAATTTATCTCTTAATATGTCTTCACAAGATAGTGATTCGTTTGAACAAATCAATCTTGAAACCTGCATGTTCATTTTTTTAATCTTAATCGGGTCAAATTGCTCTTTGAAATTTAATAAGCTTTGATACTAAATTAAGACTTGGAATTCCATTTTAAAAGTTCAATTTTATTAAGAGGAATAACTCATACTGTTCGCTATGAAAGTGTAAATCGCAAGTGCACGAGTTGAGTTCAAATAATAAAGTGGACTTTTTGAGTCCACGTTGTCAATCTCCCAAGAAATGTTTACTCTTGATTATACAACTGCAATTAATTTAATTCTAATAATAAAAACAAACACACAATAATGATTTGATTTTGGAAAATAAAGAAAAGTAACTAAAACCTGCAAAATAAGAAAACATAAGCACTTGAAAATTTCGGAGGAAAACGTGGTAAGGATTCATGGTTTCATTTAACCGTCGCTTAATTAATTTCTCGACAAGCTAATTAACAAATTACTGATTTATGATGTTAGACCCAATTTTAGTTAATTACCTATTTCGAGCGAAATTAACCATAATTGATTGATTTAACCCACAATATTTCTATGTCGATTAAAACCAAACAATTGGATTAAATATTTGTGAAAATTGCTCAATGAGTCACATAATGTTATAGGTATATCTATATCTCTTACACAAACATAGGATTTCTACTATTTGGTCTAAAATGTACAATTTTCTCTCGAACGATGTACAAATCAATAAACATAATTACTCATTGGACATATACATGAAAATGCAATAATAATAATGGTAAAAACATATGAAAATAAGTATTTAAACAATAAAAGGCGAATATTGAAATTAATTCAAGCTAGTTTAAGTTTCAACCACAAATCTCAACAATAAAACTTAGCCCATATTATATAAATGATAAAAATAAGAATATTTCATACAATTGCAAGTTTGGCAAAATAATGAAGAAAGAACAAGGTTATAAATAAAGCCTCCGTTTGTTTCTCATTTTTCATCCGTAAAAATGAAAAATATAATCGTTATCCATCACATCAAGCAATCAATTTTGAATTTCTATCTCTTGTGTGGGGACTAATAACAGTTATATTTTTTATTCTCATTCTACAATAATAAGAATCAAACGGGCCAAAATCCCTTTTTGTTGGATTTTTTAAGATGAAAATTGCTTGCTCTTGATTTCTCAAAAGATTTTCTTAATCCTTT